TGAAAGTATTCTTTGAGTCAGAGGCGGTGAAAGTAGGCTTCCAGATTACCGCAGAACTGTATCATGTTCGTGGGGGCGCTGGGGCAAAAAGAGAGTCCCCGAGATAGGACAGACTCTTCTGCTGGGTTGAGTGTGTAGCTGGATAAATTGACGATATTGCTGGGTGAGTTAGGGGTACCCCTGTTGTGGCCCCATGTGGCAGGTAGGATTTTAGACAGCTTACGGTCCTTTTTCCTTTGTAGAGAGGTGAAGTGTGTAATGTAGATCTCCTGTCTTATTTTAGTAAAGTCCATTTGTGTGGAGAGTTGGTTATTTATGAAAGTCTCCAGGTTGGAGAGCTCTTTCTTGATGTTTTTCTGTTTGCTATATAGGATGCTGATCAGGTGGTTCCTCAGTTTCTTTGATAGTGTATGACATAATCTCTCACTGTGGTCTGTGCAGTATGTAGATAGCAATGGATTTTTCACCTTCAGTCCATTTGGTATGATGTCCATCCGTTTGCATTTGGAAAGAAAGATGATATCTGTCTGTATATGTGCAAGTTTCTTCATGAGGTTGATAGATTTCCATTCCATACGGCTAAATGCAGTGCCTTGCATGGTGTCAAGTATCAGAGGAGTCCATGTGGAGTTCTTAAGTAAAGTGAAGTGAAATTAGTATGTTGGTCGACAGCAATTTTGCAATCACGAATTATCCTGATCAGCCAATGGAACTAACCAGTTCTGTGCTTTTCAATATGAGTAAGGGTTGCAGAATCAGGGGCTTGCATGTATGACCTTACATAAGCCTTATGGGGTTTGGAGATACATGTTCAGAGGCCGATTCACATCAATGAGCATCAAAGTGATAGTCCTTCATTGGGGACTCAATCCTGTATAGTCTTTTCTTGGGCAAAAGGTACACTCAAAAGAATAGGAGTTTTCCCTGAATGAGGACTTAGGGATCAGGCTTTGAATGTTTGTGAAAGTTGTTCAAGTTCACTTGTGGGCACCTCTGTAGCTGAAGATGTGGACAAATTGCAGGGGACTCATAAAAGAGCATCAAAAACTGGGAAAGGAAGTGCAGGGAATGATTCTAAATATAAATAACTCTAAGGCTACATCTACACTACGGGGGGGGGTCGATTTAAGATATGCAAATTCAGCTACGTGAATAGCGTAGCTGAATTCGACGTATCGCAGCCGACTTACCCCGCTGTAGGGACGGCGGCAAAATCGACCTCTGTGGCTTCCCGTCGACGGCGCTTACTCCCACCTCCGCTGGTGGAGTAAGAGCGTCGATTCAGGGATCAATCCCCGAGAGGTCGATTTCTACCTGCCGATTCAGACAGGTAGTGTAGACCCAGCCTAATACTAAACATGTATCAGTAAAATGCTAAACAGGCATTGAGCTCAGATAAATAACAACTAATGAGTTGAGCGAAGGACATGAAATTGACTCATGCTGTATGAATTGGATTGATTGCGATGAGAGTTTTGCCTGCATCAGGACTAGGATCAGACGAAAAGAGAATGAGCAGTTAGGTAGTACAAGGGGCCATAAGTATGAGTAATGAGATGAGATGGTGAAAAAGTAAATTTAGGCTGAATATCAGAGAAAATGTCCAAAAATAATTTGATAACAACAAAGAGTTTTATATTTAAACAAAATCAAACTATTGTCTGAAAGTAATAGGTCAGTAATCACACAGTGTAAAAGATGACAGTGAGTGGTACTACACTGAGGTGGTTGAACATTAATCTATGGTTATTTATCAATAAAATCAATAAATAGTCTTGTCTGCTGAAAAGCAAAGTTCTGTATTAAACATGAACTTACTAGTATTCTGATCCGCTGGAATGATGTAATAGTCAGCACGAAACCCTCTGTTTGTTATACTCGAGTCACTGTGAAATCGAACTGTCATCAAGTTTGAGGACGATGTATATGTGAGATAGGAACCATAACAAATTTTCCCCAGTAAAGGAGAGGTATAGAGTGGCCCATCATATATCTCAATATAATCATGCTGGCATCTACCACCTTCTGTTCTGGAGAATAAACATTAACATTTTGTAAACTATTTTGTAAACTTCTATTTAAGTATTCATCACAAAGCAGCACATGAATCTCAGATTAAGCCCTTCAGACTGCAAGGTGTTCATGGCAGAGATTGTCTTCATTTTGTATCTTGTATGGTACCAACCACTTTGTTAGGATTCAACAAGTAACAACAAATAATACTCCATTCATGCCATTTTTCATTTTAGGTTGACCGGTCACTTAGAATTGTTAAACCCTGTTGAGAAATGTCCTTCAAATGGAGAGGGTACAAGTTTGAAAAGTCCATGACTTTGAACCCATGAGTTGCCCAGAAAATTAGTACTTTACTTACGAGATATCTCTAAATGAAACTGTTATACGGTAATTGCTCACTGCTTCTATTTCCCACACACAATCTGCATTGTTTGGATAATTCCCAGGATAGAACGGGCTTTGAAATGTCCCAGATGAATATTGAAGGACACCACCACAAGCATATTTTGCTGCAAAATAAAATGTAAGAAAAAAATACATATGAGTCATTTATATATATTTTTGTATATATTTGCATATGATTTATCAGTCAGAGCCAAAAGCTACTGAAGTTAAAGGAAAGCCTCCCATAACTTCAATGGTCTTTATAAAAGGTGCTCTATGATCAGCATCTGATCCCAAGAGCTGTTGATCCCACTCACAGTCTCATTTAATGCTCAGGACCTCTCACGATTAAGCACTAAATGTATATAGCTGAAGACAGAAAATATGGACCAAAGAAAATGTTCAGGGGAGAAAGATTATGCTTTTTTCTCTCCAATAATGTTATGTTGTTATTAATTCAGGTTGGAAGTCAAATTTTGAAGTAGCACCTGGTGCACTGGGGACAAAAATTACAGCCTGAATGAAAATAGCATCTACAGTCAACTTTGGAATGTAACAATTTTTACTTAATGCAGAGCTTGAAGTGACATAAGGCTTATACATTCCTCCTCAATTTTGTCGCATACAAGAAAGAGAAAGAACTAGAAAGGTCATTATCTTGATGAGGGACCCACAAATATATCTTGTGGTCTTTAAAAAAAACAAAACAAAAAAAACCAGGGTTTCATTTCTGTTCTGATGCAGAATGAAAACAAATGTTAAAGCCTCAGAATTATTTTCCAAACCAGAATTCTTGTTTTCTAGCCATAGCCTGTTGAGAGAAGAGTAAGTACTGTAAAGACAGCAAAAATGAAGGAAGCATGATCTAAGAGAAATGCCATGGGCACTGGGAGTCAAAATATCTGGTTTCTATTCCCCACTCTGCATTCATGTAATTTAGCAACGTAATCCCACAACATGCCAACAGCTGTGAACTGAGACTGAGGGCTGATAGACACAGTCCTCATCTCTTCCCCAGATCCACAGGGTGAGCACAGGATTCTGACAGCATATTGGACGATGGCAGAAGACCAGGGAGCAATTCAACAACAATACCGAGAAATCTTTATTGCCTGAACCAGGTTTGAAATTTGGTCCTTTGAATTCTTTTCAATTTATCCTTGCTCTCATTTCAGATCATGTGGCAACTGCACTATGAAACCATAAGCTAAACCATCGCTAGCACAGAATCCCATAAGAAAGAAACATCTTAGTGAAGCTAGAATGAGTTAGCACTCACCAGTGGTTGTGTACCAGGGCCATGATGGAGTGTATCCCGGTGTTCCTGCAGGAAGATAACAGAAGTGAAACTAGAGTCCTATGGCGAATTCTCACAGGAATGGCAAAATGCACATTGCCTTCGCAAATCTCCACAACAAATCATCAAAGCAATGAAACTCTTCAGTGAAACTGTTGGAAGAATTTTTTGGAAAGACACCTGCAAACATTTGGTATTTACCTAAACAGATGACACCGGCATCTTCAGAATAACCACAGTTATGAGAGAGCCATCCTGAATGAGGACAGTCCCATGGACTGTCTCCTGGGGAATGACCTATTTAGATGCTTGGCAGAAAGGCTAGCAGGCAATCTAAATGTGAGGATCTTGTTCTCTTTTAGGGAGGGAGTGATGGAACAGAAATGAGAGAGGGTTGGATGGATTGAAGAAAACTATATTTACTCTCCACACCTCAGTGTTCCGGGGGTCTAATATGCAAGAGTAAGGGTGTGTAATGGACCTGTACAGTTCAACAAATGTACTGAGAAAAATTTATTGCCTGTACCACATTTGAAATTTGCCCTTTCTATTGCTATTCAACCTGTCCTTCCTCTTAATGTCTCCGGGGGAATGACCTACTTAGGTTCTGTCCAGAGAGGCTAGTAGGGAAATCTAAATGTGAAGATCTTGTTTTCTTCTAGGGAGGGAGTGATGGAACAGAAGCAAGATGGAGTTGGATGGATTGCAGAAAACTATATTTACACTCCACATCTCAGTGTCCTGAGGGAACAATATGCAAGAGTAGGGTTGTGTAATGGCCCCGTTCAGTTCAACAAATGTATTGAGAAACATTCATTGCCTGTACCACGTTTGATATTTGCCCTTCATATTGCTATTCAACCTGTCCTTTCTCTCCTTTCAGTTCATGTGGAAATTCTACTATAAAACCATAGGCTTGATTTCCCAAACATTTCTAGCACAGAACCCTATCAGAGAGAAACATTTTAATGAAAGCAGAATGAGTTAGCACTTACGAGTTGTTGTGTACCAGGGCCATGATGGAGTGTATCCTGGTGTTCCTGCAGGAAGATAACAGAAGCATAACTAGAGACCTATAATGAATTTTCACAGCAATGGCAAAATGCACATCCCTTCTGCTAAATTTCAAATCCCCCACCAAGTCATGGAGCCACCAGAGCTCTTCAGTGAAACAGCTGGAAGAAGTTTTTTTAACCTGTGCAAAACATGTCTCCCAAGTCTTATTTTTGAAGCAGCTGAAGTGTTTTAGCTGAAACTTCCCAAAATACATCAGTCTCTGGGACAAATGGATTTGAGCCTTAATGGTAATAAGTAATAAGCAAAGTGATAAGCAACTAAAATCTGGATCTTATGATGGAAACTGTTCGGCAACCTCAACAATAAGTGACGCTACCAGCTCTGCCTATAATAAATTTCAGTGGTGATCCTGTATATGCGCATTTCAGCATATTACATTTTATGTAATCTGGATAACATGTAAGCGATGAGTTACCTGTTG